CCCTCGTGGGGTAAAGACTTCTTTGTTGTTGTTGTTGTTGTTGTTGTTGTTGTTGATAAAAAATTTAAAAAACAACTTCCCACTTACCTGCATAGGACACATATTTAACAAAAGAAAAATTATAGTTCAGTCCACCCGCAGGAAGTGAAGACAAAGGATTTATCCCCTTGTTTCATTCGAGCCGAATGAACAAGCCACACGAGAGATTGAGATAGGAGTGAGTGTAGGAGAAAAAAGGAAGAGAAAGAAGAAAAGGGAAGTCGAGTGGTGCGATTCCTTCAGATAGGATGACGATAGCGAAAAGGGAGCAAGCATGCCATGTGTGGGAAGTGCGTCCACTTCCAGTGCAAGGGAGAAAGGGAAGCCAAGTGGCTTCGCCCACATACGCATGAGGCTTTCTGGATGGAAAAAATATTAGGTCATGACTCTGGATGCATCCGAAATCCAATGGTGGGGCTCCAAGTGTTAAGTGAGCCCCACAAATTTTAACACTGACCAATCTTAGTATATTGCGGTGGGCCCACTTGACACGTGACGCCCCACCATTGGACCGGACGCAAATTACGTCCGGAGTTCGGATGTAATATTTGCTCTTCTACACGAGGGAGCTGCCCTCCTGCGTGAGGGTAACACTCGATCGAGCATTACAAGCTCAAGGGAATGGAGGGAAACCGAGTAGCCCTAATTACTTGTGTGGCATTTTCAGCACAAAGAAGAACCGGGCAAGCCTTGTGTGCTCTGAGCATAGGAGCGGGCAAGGCAACGAGAAATTGAGAAAGAATTGGGGCTTTAAGTAAGAAAATTGAAACCCAAGGTTAGGGCTTCTATTATTTTATTCTTTATTATGTTAGAGAAATTTATGTCTAGTTATTTGAGCTGAAATCAAATAAAACCCTAAAATCTAATTGTCAACTTTTTTTAGAAATGGATAAAGGGACTATTGAAATCAGGAAAGGAGAAAATTTCATGTACAAAGTCAAATGTTATTTTCCTAATTTGTATTAAATTAAATCCTAAGCTTTAAAGTCCAAATTAAATAACTACTATTACAAGTATATTTAAAGAAATTTAGGAAAGACATTTACTAAAAAATTTGAAAAGATAAATTACTTCAATATGATATGTTATTGTATGAATTAGTACTAATTGACCAAATATCTTAATATTAAAACAAAATGTGGCTAAATTATTTAATTTGAACTCTAACGAGGAGAAAGGTAATTTGAATATTCATATGTACATGTAAATTAAGTAAATTTCAAATGAATATATCTAAATAATAATAGAATGGTAAGACTTAATATGACAAATGAATAAAATTGATAAAGCTATATTGTTCTTATAGGTGAGCGAAGAGACTAATTTCATTTATGAAAAAAGCATAAGACTACATCAAACAGGCGTTAAATATGTTTTTATTTTATAATAGTTTTATTTATAATAGTTTTATTTATTTATGAAATTAATTGCAATTTTTTTTTACTGCTTTTAGTAGTTCAAATGCAAATTTCATGTTTTTAAATATTAAATAAAATAAAAATAATAAAATATGATATGTGCATGCACAAGTGAAATCGCCCCTCGATAGTACTGATAGGAGAGTATTGTATTGATGAATGTAAAATGATAATGAAATAAAAAAATGAAAATTGTTGTCATACATTTTTGATGAATTTTGAAAAATGTTAAATATCTATTTTTAGTATATGTAGATGACTCCCACCAAAAAAATGATTTTTTTATTATTTCAATTTTTACTGCTTACGATCATTTTACTGTTTATTGTGTTACTAAATATTTTAAAATGAGTATTATTGTAATTTAGAAATATTTTTACCTACTGAATATGTTATCTCATACCTTTGGTTGTTAATGTTTTTAAGAAAAATCTGCTATAGAATAGATAGATTCTAAAGAGTATATGTACACATGACGAGGAGCACAGGGAGTTAAATAGAATCTTTAATTTTTAGTTTTCTTTTAGTTATAAAAGTTTTAAATATGAACGAATATTTATAGATTAAAGTTGTGTAATAGAATGACTCATTTATATGTTGGATGCTTTTGTTTAATAAATAAAACTGTTCTGGATAGTTTTGCTTTTGTCCCTTCCTGCCTTAGTATTTCAAGCTTATTGGCCGGGTTGTGACAAGAGTGATATCAATGCCCAAGTATAACACTAGTAGGATGATGATAGTTACTAAAAGAGGCATTTAAATAGCAATTCTAATATTAATTAATGTAATTATAAAATTTTGATATCTCAAGCAATGAATATGAATCAGGAGGATACCGATTAGAGAGGTTAGAACTGATGAACAACATCTGGCTCCACCAACACTTTTTGATCTCCCATCCAGTATTATTAGTGTCCCCATAGAAGCATTTACTTAGATAATGACATGATTGATTCAAGGTTCTCAAATCCAAACCGAAGGTAATGGAATATCGTCGATGGATAAATATCTAAAGTTCTAAGAAATGAGACCACCTCTCTTTTCAAGAACAGAAGAGCCAGTGGAGGTCGAAAACTGGCTATTGATGATAGAATAAAATCATTAACATCATGTCTTGTGTTGAGGAGAGAAGAATTACATTTGTCGCTTTCTCTATCGAGGGAGAAACAATACGATGGTAGCTACTAAAAAAAATTTTGAGGACGACACAACAATTTAATCCAATAGGAGGATTTTGTGAAGACCTTCCATGATTGGTTTGTACCTCTCTCAGTCGGAAGATAAATGCAGGATAAATTCATCAGGCTGGTGCAAGGAGATCATTCTATTATGCAATATGAGGCTGGGTTCACAATGTTGTTTAGATCTGCACCACAACTAATCTCGAATGCAAAAAAAAATCGTCAACGTTTTCTATTTGGATTAAAGGATATCATCAGACAACCTTTAATTCCTTTGGGCATTGAAGATTACTCAGTCCCAGTGGAGAATACGAGGAGGGTAGAGATCAACTTACTGGCTGCGCGAAGACATGCTGATTTTTTTAAAAAGAAGGGAGATGAGAGGTCTAGATCTGGGCAAGCTACCCAATTGGTTCAATCTAAACATATTAGCTTGAAAAAGCTTAAATCCAGTAGCAGGCAATAATAGTGTAGCCATTTGTGCCAAGTGTGTGAAGGTACACAAACGAGAATGTCTATTTGGCACCAACAATTATTTTTGGTGCCATCAACCAAGACATATTGTGATATCCTACCTTACCCGGGCCAACGACTCCCGGTTGATACTAGAGCTCGTGTTCCACCTTCAAATAGAACTTTTGCCAGACAAAAGCCAATTGAGTCATCAGGAACAACTCCGGCTCTGCGTCAGACCAGCCAAGGTGTATCCAAGGTGTACAACCTTGAGTACATGCACTGACTTAGCAAGAAACAAATTATTTGTCTGATTCATTACATGTATTTCTTTCACTTTATTTAATTTTGCCAATCTTTATTTATTTTAAACAATTATATTCTTTTCATTATAGGTTTGATATATATCCAAAATAAATTAGTCAGAATTTTATTAACACTAGAGTATCACATTTATTTATTTATTAAGAGTTTGTCAGATCATAATGAGTTGACTCATTCAGGATGCCTGATGTCTTATCAGTCATTCTGTCTAATGGGTCTCGCATAAAGGTTGATAGAAGTTGTGTAAATCTAACAATCTGTCATAGAAGCTTAAAGGAGAATTTGGCAGTGTTACCACTAAATGACTTTGAAGTGATCCTAAGGATGAATTAGCTATCCAATCACATTGCAGCTATATATTACCCTAAAAAGTTAGTTAATTTCAAAATCCCTGTTAAAAAAGAATTCAAATTTGTGGAAGATAGAGAAATCCTAATGATATACAATTTAAAGGCCTTCAAACTATTAGCAAAAAATTATCAAAATTTTTTTAGCTCAAGTCATGAAAGAGTTAAAAAAAATTGTAGAATATACCAGTAATAAAAGAGTTTGCAAAAGTCTTCTTAGACGATTTATCAAATTTGCTGAAAAAAAGAGAGAGATTTCCCCATTGATTTGTTCATAACTGATTTGATACAAGGTGCAAAACCAGTAGCAAATATACCCTATAGGATGACAATCAAAGAACAGTAAGAATTAAAGTTAATTGCAGAACTTGTTGGAGAAAGAGATTTATCAAGATATGTACGTCCAATTTGGGAGCTCTAGTTGTTTTAGTTAAGAAAAAAGATTGAAACTTAAGATTAAGCATTGATTATCGAGAGTTAAA